AGCCAAACCAGTCAAAACCAGGATATATATTCAGCAGATACAGGACAAACGCTAAGGTAATTTAAAGTTCTCATCTTTTTCAATGAACTGAATTATTGGAAACCCTGCTTTGGCATAGGAGCAGTAAAACTCATGAAATACTCATTTAATCTACTGTGTCAGCAGTTACATTGCCTTTTCTGAAGGGGAAAAAAAAAAAGAAAAATCTATGGACTTTTATTAAGAAAGTTTACATCATTTTAACTCATTGGAGCACTACCAGATGAGAAGCTGATAAAGTTATTATGCTATCTTATCCAATTCAATATTTTCAGTATGAGTGAGTGTTCCAGTTTTTGCTAAACAAACTGTATTATTTGAATTCCTGCAACAAACCAACCTACCAATACAAATCAATGAAGTCTAAACACTCCTTTATAACATGAAGTAAAACAAGATCTTTCCAGTCAGAGGATTAAAAAATTTCATCAAACCAGGTTCCAGTGAAGGCATAAAAAAGATCAAAAGTAAAGAAAACAGAGCAATTCAGAACAGACCATCATTCTCCAAACCTAGCTTGCTTGGGTTTCAGTAGCTGCTATTATGTGTTGTATTAGATACAGTGGAAACCATGCTTGCATTCCCCACCTCATTGCTTCACCACCTCAGCTCTAGAATCAGTCATAACCTATGCTTTCCTGTAATTTTTCTTGGGTTTCAAATGCTCTCACTGTAACTTGGTCTTCCTCCTGCACCTGACTGGGAGGTGTTGGGTCCATGCCTGGTTGGATGCTGTACCTGGGCAGGCTAAGGAGATCAGGCCCAGCCACAAAGAACAGCTGAGTGGTGGTAATGTCAGCACCAGTTCTGTATAGGTGGGAAGAATGGATACTGCTGCAAATTGTTTTGAAGGGGTTTGCAGGCTGGGATTAAAGAAACACTGGAAGAAACAATGATTGGCATGTTGGCATGTGTCACCTACCAAGGAATTTTTTTTTTCCTTGTAAGGCACACATTTCCACACTTCTTCATTGGCAGCAGTATCCCTGTGAGGAACGCTACTGCATGATTGAGTATCAGGGCACCATGAATATTGCTAAACACAACTTTGTATCTCACCACAAGCATGGCCTGTATCCCTACAAAGCCCTGCTTAAGTGTCACCTGTTTATTAGTAGAGGATGTACCTTTGCTGATTGACCGGCTATTGAGTTAGATCCAGGGGAGTTTTCTCAATATATTTTATAATGTTAAGTTTGCATCCTTGGCAAAAAACACTAGTGGTATGGTGAACTCATTAATGAATAAATATGATTTGATGACCCTGTAAGAATATCTAGAGGTTCACACCAAGAGGAAAACTGTGATGATCTCAGTTTGCAACCTGCCAGAAACACATCATGCCTGTTAATATTTGTTCATATTCCACCTTCCTACCACATCAGAAGAGTGTAATGTAGCCAGTGCAGCTAGACAATCCTTCCTTAAAGGAAGCTGTCATCAATTTCTGTGGTTTTTCTGTCACAGATCTCAACTGCATACAGTAAAATCTAAGTAATTTAGTCAAAAGTGCTTTAAACAAAAAATGTTACATGAAATTTAGTAGACTAACCCTCAGAAAAATGAGTGTAATTCTCCATTATTTCTATTAATGTTTTAACTAGCTTGACAAGAAAATACTGAACTCCCTTAAAAATAAATTTAAAGTTACTCCTAGGTTTAAGTTTCAGTTTTGTGTTGGTGAAGGAGAAAAAAGGGAACTAAGATCACTCTGCAGCCTTTTTTTTATAAAACATTTGAGTCTAAAAGAAGAAAGCCAGTATATGTGAAAGCATGTCCTCTTTTTCCACTTGTCTGTGCAAATTCTTCTGGAGAAATACAAATTCTACTGGCCAAATTCACATCTGAGTTTCTCAAACAGAAATATTTGCTCACCTTCACAGTGAACAAAACTCTAGAGAAACAACACTCACAAAATTTTCCCTTACTGACATAATTTTCTTACATACAATGAGGCAACTTGCTAGATGAGCTCTGATATTTAAATTCTGATTGTAAACCATACCTTTTTTCTCATGTTCCTAGTTTCACTAAGTTTCAGATTGTATTAGCATATTGAGAATATAAGCCATAAAAAGTAGCAGTGTTAAAAAGCAGGTGCACTAGCTGAAGTAAGATCCTCCTCTTAAATGACTAACCTGCATTCTTCAAAGAAAAATTAAGTCTTGTTGTCAGGAAAAACTGTCAATGCAAGTGCAGGTAAGAAAATAAAAATAACTTTATACAGGAATAGTTTAACAGGTAACAGACAAGAAAGAAGTAAATGTACCCTGGGGAATATGCAAATCATACTGACTGAAGTTTTGCATCTGCATACCATCTTATATTCTGAGATCACAAAACTGAACTTAATATACATTTCCTTATTGTTTTGCAGACTAACTGGTATCATTGTATAAATTTGCAATTCCATTCTCTGAGCTGCTGAACTATATTGTACTATACTGACTAGTAGGAACATGCAGGAACCTCCTTCTCACAGGGCTATCATGCTTTAAGACTCATATTCAACATAATACTGAAATACCAATGATTTTCTTCTCCTGCTGCTTTGCTCAGATCATGCTCCCCTTGCTACTGTGTCAGGAATTAGCAAGTTGCAATGCTCTTATTTTCCTGTTATAGTCTTCCTCCCTAATTCTCCACTAAAGCCTTAAACACTTTAGTCCATCATTAAAACCAGTCTTTGGTCCATCACTAAAATGGCTTGGCTTGCACTGAGATCTTCAGTATTAGGAAAGGGAATAAGTTATTTCAAGTGCAGCCAGCTAAAGTAATAATTAAACACAACTTCCTGGTACCCAGAGACACTTTACTGCTTTCTAATGTTGTTTGTTTGGTCTACAAATATCTTAGAATAACATGATTCAATAATGCCATGCAGATTTAAGTTTGCAATGCTCGTTTGGCTGCTACCACACTAAAATAGACAGGTCTTACATTTGTCTTTACAAAGTAGACTTTATTACATGGTCCAGCAGAAAAGAAAGGACAGCTAATACTTATAGCAAAATTCTAGTATTTTAATATAAATTTTAAAGAAACCAAAAGAAAACCCATAAACCATAGTATTTGTTTTAGGTAATTTTGTTCAAAAGAAAAAATAATAAGCAGTGTTGTGTGAGCTGATGAAGAGCAGAACCACTTAAGGAACCATGACACTGGTTTAATCACCTCTCTTTCCCAATACCAGATGTCTCACTGACATGTAATTGAAATTTTGGTATTACAAATGGTCTCATTTTGAATGACAACTTACACCCATTTTTTAGTGTGCACTGCAATGCAAAACTGCTCATTCCCAATGCCTTTCTGACCTTCTCTTCTTTTACACAATCTTGTAATTTTTTTCAATCAATGCCTTAATAACAACATTTTATAAAGCTGTGCATTTCCAGGACAGCAAAAACATTTACCACCAGGCAGGGTTCTAGCAGATACAGCTTTGAAAAGTTGATCAGATTTTTCCTCTAAAATAGGATGAATCATACAAGGTGACCTGATCACTGATACAAGAATGCAAAAAGATGCATTTTATAATGCATTGGTGCTAAAATTGTGGAAATCAACAGGGTGTATACTGTGGGTATTTCTGTTGGAATAAATATGTTTGTATCTCCGTATCTCCATCGGACAAGCTGAATCAATGTATTAAATGAATTATTTTATAATTTCCTAAACCAGGCTTTCACATGCTTGTTAAAATTAGAATGACTGAAGGAGATGCCAACTATTTAGAGTGGAATATCATCAAATATTATCAGTATTAAATATTTTAACCTACACAAGTATAGGAAGAGTCAAGAATAAATACCAAGTACATTTATTACAAGCCATACAAGATGAACAAACAAGATGAAGCCTAGCATATTTTGCCATAACAGCACTCAAACTACTGCTACTGAACCCTGAGAGCAGAGAACGCCACCTGGGTTTTGGATGAGTGAATGTATAAGCATGCATCAGGCCAATCCCCTCTCTTTGCCTCTCCAATGATGTTACATTTACATCTTCTGCATGGAGAAATGTGTTACCTATTTGCTTAACCTCTGGCCCACAAAACCGGGGAGCACATAACACTGTTAAAATTTACTGTAGTTGTGTCTTACACATGGTATGTCCCCCCTCACAATCCCTAATGGAGAGCAGAGAAAACCAACATCGATATTGCTGATTATTTGATTATAGATAGACGACAGCTTGTTATTCACACTGGGGTTCCTTTACTGCTCCTTGTGTCTGAACCAGGCTTGGGGCTGACCTGCTGGGGAGCAGCTCTGCAGAGAAGGACCTGGGGGTCCTGGTGGCCAACAAGCTGTCCATGAGCCAGCAGCGTGTCCTGGTGGCCAAGAAGGACAGTGCTATCCTGAAGGGCATTAGGAAGAGCACTGCCAGCAGGTGGAGGGAGGTGATCCTGCCATTGTACTCAGCCCTGGAGTGCTGTGTCCAGTTCTGGGCTCCTCAGGACAAGAGAGACACGGAGCTCCTGGAGCGGGTGCCAAAAGGGAGGAGCCAGGAAAGCACTCCTCTCAGCAGAGCCGGGCAACAGGACAAGGGGCAACGGGCAGAAACTGATCAAGTGCCACGTCAACATGAGGAAGAACTTTCACTGTGCAGGTGACTGAGCACCGGAACACACTCGGCGCCGTGTGCCCTGCGCTGTCCCTGCTGGAGCAGGGCGGCAGCCGCGCAGCAGCGCCGCTCCCCGAGCCACAGCCCCCTTCCCCGAGGGCGCCCCGCGCTCCGCAGCCGCGCCTGCGCAGAGCCCCGCGCAGGGCCGCGGGGCCGGGCGCGGCGGCGCGTGACGCCGCTCGGTGAGGCCACTGCGGTGACGTCACTCCGGTGGCGGCGCGTGACGCCGCTCGGTGAGGCCACTGCGGTGACGTCACTGCGGTGGCGGCGCGTGACGCCGCTCGGTGAGGCCACTGCGGTGACGTCACCGCGGTGGCGGCGGCGCGGGGGCGCGGTGCTGGGGCAGGCCGCGCCGCGCCGCGCCGCGCCGGGCCCGTCCGCGCTGATGGAGGACGAGCCCTGCCCTGAGCTGGTCCCGATAGGCGGCGCGGAGCAGAGCGATGCCGGCCCCGGCAGGAGGATCCCCGTGACGATCATCACGGGGTACTTGGGTGAGGAGCGGGCGGTAGGGGCTGCGCGCGGACGGGGAAGGCCCGGGCGGCGGCGGGGCCGGGGCTGCCGGGCGGGGCCCTCCGCCGCTCCTGTGGGCTTGAGCAGCGGCGGAAGCACCCGCTGCTGCTTTCGCCACTTGCAGGGGCCGCTTCGTTCAGGCCACGACTGACAGACGGCTCTTGGTCGCTTAGCGTCAGAATAGCGCAGCGTATTTGGCCCAGTTAAATGCACACTGCGTTGCAGTGTGAAAAACGTGAGGTTCGGCGTTTCTCCCGTACTCCTCGACCAGCAGAGTTACTGTGTGCTACACGCATTTACGGACTGTAAGGATCTGGTTAAATTTAGAACCTCCGTCACTGTTCTAAAAGTTGTAACTTTGTACTGCATCACACTGTTGCAGAGAAAAACCTGTTAAGGACAAGTAAGCTCCCTAGTTGTAGTGGCCGCCTGCTTTGGATTAGATCTCCAGAGATCCCTTCTAGCCTCGGCAATTCTGTGATCTTGTGCCTGGGATGATACTGCTCTTAAGGTGGTGTCGCAGAGGTTGTGAGGACGTTTTTTAACAATGCCCCGTTTAAAGGCAGTTAGTAGCACATCTGATGGCAGAACTGGTCAGAAAAGGCAGTAAGAAAAAGATTAAGTGTGCCTTTTGTTAAGAAAAGCATAAAAATTAGTTTTGTAGGAAAAAACTGCCCATCTAGTAGGGAACTTGTGGGTTTATCAAGTACTGACACTTTATGAATGGAAAATCTGTGAGTTGTTTAAGACTGAGAACTGTCCTGATAGTTCTATGGGTTGAAATATATCTACAAATTAATTTCTACATCATTAGAATAGAATGTAGGACATTAGAATGAAAACTTCTATTTAGAAGAGAATTGCTTGAAGTGTGCATGTGCATGCATAACAGTATTTAGTTTTTATTTGAAACTTTATGTGGACTTTTTTTTACATTTTAATAGAAATATGGTCTGTGTTCTAGGAGCTGGAAAAACAACTCTTCTAAATTACATACTGACAGAACAGCACAATAAAAGAATTGCAGTTATTCTGAATGAATTCGGAGAAGGTATGTAAATGTGCAGAGAGCTTTCTTTTTGCCACAAAATGACGAGTACATAAAACTGTTGGAAACCAAGACTGCTGTAATTTTAAATCCATTACTGAAATTATTAACATACTTCATAGTTTTCAGAAGGGCAGAAAGTATTTTTGCTGATTTTCATAAAATAGTGACCTGCATTAATCTATTTTGCACATAAATATAGGCCCTCAGAGTAAAGTAAGTAAATACATCACCCTGTGGAAATTGCTATACCTCCATTTGTCCCACTCAGTTCCAAGCAAATGGAAATTAAAATAATATGTTGATAGATGATATTTTCTTTTATTTTCTTTCCCTTCAGCCATTTGCAAATCACCAAGAAAATGGGGTGATGTGTGCTTGATGGCTATTGTTCTTTGAACTCTTTGCTTTCAGGATTTTTAATTGCTCTAGCTGTAGTTTCAGACCTCCCACAGTCAGAAGCTTACATTCTTTAGAGTTTATACTGTGTTGGTGGGTGCTTTTTGTTGGTTTGTTTTCATCAATAAAGGTGTGTGTAGCTTTTCTGGTCACAGAGCCTGACATAAAATGAACAGACAGAGCCTTTATTTGATAGGCAAGCACAGGCTGGCATCCCTTTCTTCTAGCAAAGTTTGTGGCACTTGTGATGTACCATCATCCAGTGGGGCTTGATCTTTGTGGAATGAGCTTTGTCTTGACTTCTAAATTTCTCATAAAATAGAAAATACAAATTTCTTAAAGAATATGTCAGAAACGTGGTCTCGGGAGAAAAGAATGTAATCCGCATATCTCTCTCTTACAGGCATTGTCATGCAAGATTGTAAATTAAAAATATAGCACTACTTGTGTTTTCAGGAAGTGCCTTGGAGAAATCTCTGGCAATCAGTCAAGGGGGAGAGCTCTATGAAGAATGGCTGGAGCTCAGAAACGGCTGCTTGTGCTGTTCAGTAAAGTGAGTAAGGCCTGTTGTACAAGTTCTTACAGTGGATATTGTGGGGAATGGAGGTAGGGAGAAGACATCCAGAATTTGATTCCTGAAACTGATGGTAGAATTGATTGAGACTTCTTTTGTTGGACACACCAATTGGAATTTGGGAGGTAGAAATTTATTTCCTGTTGCTGCCTTGCTGGATTTGGAATTGGTGTCTTTCAGAAAAGTAATCTAAATACCAATTTATACATCACGGGGCTATTGTAGAGTAGGGATCTATCCCTCTATTGTTAGTATAATATACTTCCATGTAGAGAGCTGAATATTCAGGTAGGCTGGAACTGGGACTCAGGTTTCCCATTTTCCTCACAAAACACTTAGTCTCCTTCTTTCTTTGTACATTGGTTACTACTTCAATATTGTATTCATCAAAAAGGATGAATGGAAAACCTTTTGTGACCTAATGCAACACAGTATCCAAATCTGTAAGGTGATGGTCATGGTAAAGATCAAGAGAGTATTTGTTCCTTTGACATGTTTTTTTTACCCTGTTTTTTACAATGCTGAATTGTTTGTGCTAAGGGTCATGGCCTGTTTGTCCTGAAAATTTGGGAGAACTGATGTTTTGTAAATAGTAATAGGTACTAAGTGGAAAATGGAGGATCTTATTGGATTCTGTTTTTCTGGAGTGTAAGGGATACTGTCCTAAGAGAAGCATAAAAGTTATGTATACATTGTTTTTTAATTTTTTTTTCCCATGCTGCTATGCTTTGCGTACATTGTTTTCTTATATAAATGCTATACATTTCTGTGTCAGGCTGACTTCATCAGCTCTAATTTAAGTAAATGGCATGATAATCTTGGTGTAAATGAGGTAGAAAGGCAGGGCAGCATGCTTCACTTCTACTTCACCCCTTATTTCTGTATATATCAGCTGCCATACCAAATAGTTACATATCTACACAGCCTTACTGTCATTTACAGGTTGTTCAGTGTTTGAAAACAAATCTTTAAGTCACCTGGTGGGATTAGGCAAATGCTATTTTCAGACTAAAATGAAATAGAAAACGAAAATTTGCCTAATAATATACCAGCAGATAATTAATTTTGCATTGAAGACTGTAAGTCTGGCAATGTCCTGACTCAGAACTTTTGCTTTGATGACACTGACACTGTGTTCTGCATCAGAAGATATGTTTAAATACATGCTTTAGCTTGTTTTCTCTGTTCTCAGGCTTAATTGTTTCTTCTTACAGGGACAATGGTGTGAAAGCAATTGAGAACCTGATGCAAAGGAGAGGAAAATTTGATTATATATTGTTAGAAACAACTGGTTTGGCAGATCCAGGTAGTTCACATTACAATTTTCTTAACCATGATAATTATTCTGTTTTTATGAAGTGTTTATTTGCTCACCAGTTAGTTCACATTGACAGTTGTAATATAAAGTGGTGAGTTGTCAGGCGCCTATGTTTTGGTGGTGGTAGAGACTCCAATGAATTGAGTCAAGGTGCAGATAAGAGGTTGTGTTTGGGTTCTGTTTGCTGAACTTGCTCTAAATTGAATCTAAAGCTTAGTAGAAATCCAGCTAAAATATATTTCCATTTAGAGAAGACACTGGGCTTAGCAAAGAGAAGCATACTCTGAAAGCAGTAGTTTTCAGTACACTTTTGATGTTCTACATTCCGCCTTTTAAAGTCTAAATAGTTAACATCTGTTTTATTGTTACTCTAGTTGTGATAGGCCTTATATTTTGTAAAGTTGTGAAATATACTGTGAAATAGACTAGCACATTCTTCTTAAAGAACAATAATAGATTTTACAAAATCCTTCTGTGCTCTTTAGTAGTATTTATTATAAAAAGAGTGTCTAAACTTGAGCTCATGTTAGGAATAGCTATCCAAAGCAGTTTTCTCTAAACCATCCACATTAAAAATCTGTTGTAGATGGAGAGGGAAGGAAATTCTTATCAGAAATTCAATTGTTTCCCCTTTAGGAGACTGGTGCTTTCCAGCTCAAAGCTAAATAGTTGTCATTATAAAGTAATTTTCTTCAAAGGACAGAACATTGATTTGGCCTCTGTTACACACAAATTCTGTCTGAGTCAAATTGGAAAACTATTAAGCTTTTTGGAAAAAAATCAATAGATACCAGAAAACGATTTCATGTTGTGATCCCTCCTATATCTTGCCTGAGTAAGCACTAGAACAACTGACAGGTATTTGGGTCTGATACAGAGTGGTGTTTGAAGGACTGCCTCATATCACTTCAGGTGGACAGTTTTAGGTGTTGGAATTAATTTTGTCACTGATCTTATTGTTAGCACAGCAAATACAGATTTTCTATTAAATACTCAGTGTTGGTAGTTTACTGGAAAAATCTCAATTTTGCAACTTTATATATACTACACTTCTTAGGAGCTGTGGCCTCCATGTTTTGGGTTGATTCTGAGCTGGGAAGTGACATCTATCTCGATGGTAAGAAGTGAAAGCTTATTTTTCTGTGTATTGGCATTTCATGTCTGGATTTAGAGTAATGTATTATTGGTGTTTTAAGGCAAGGTTTCAGAAAATGTTTGAAATGTATGAACTTGATCACAGAGGCATCCTTGAACATTCTGATGTTTGTTTATTTACTTGGCGAGGTGCTCAATCTTGCTAAATCCAGAAAAAGTTGTTTAATGCTTTTCTAAGGGATCAAATATGGACAGCTCTTGATAGTGATGTACGGAGAAAATCCCATTAGCTATATGTTATAAAACCTCATTTAGGAGTAATATTACTTTTTTTCTCTTTCTTCCTTCTCCCACCCTTCTCCTTAACTACAATGTTTCCTAAAGGGTTTCCTATTTTTCTGAATTCATAACTTGTCAATACCTGGATGTTTCTGCCCTTTGTTTTTTGCTTTATTTGCCTATTGTACTTGTTGGCTTTAATATTTGTTGTGTTCTAATAAAAAAACCAGATTACTGAAAGATAAGTCATCACTATATGTAGTTAAAGAGCAATTTTTTAATGTAGGGAAAAAAGTTTACTTGTTGGCTTAAAAAAACGCCCTACTAACATTTTGGGCAGTCTGTGAAATATCCATCTAACCAAGGAAGGAAACATTGAGTTCAATAAGAAGGAGTTTCCAAAGTTTCTGCCAGAGACTTGCAAATTCCTGGTCATTTACCGTCAGAATGGCTGCATACATCAGTCAGTCCCTTAATTTTTTTCAATATTCTGTAAAAGCATACCTCAGCCAGTTTCCTCTTGTGGAAGATGAGGCGTCTACTTTGTGAGAATTTATCTCACCTGGTTCTGTAGACATTTTACTACCACAGATATGACAATGAATAAAAAATACTTAGGTAACAAGTTTAATGTTCACATACCTTCAGTGCTTCCAGTTCATTATAGCTAGTTGTAAACATGCTGATATTATTACCTTTGTACAGGAGGTTTTCAAGTTGTTAAACTGTCAGCTGCTTTCAGCACATTTCTATTCCATTTTAATGTTTTAGGTATTGTGTCTGTTGTTGATGCAAAGCATGGATTGCAGGTAAGTTATTAGATTTGTTACATGGTTTGAAACTGCAGCATTAGAACAGCTATTGCAGTAGTGTTCACATGGATTAATTAATTTTAACAATAGCTGTAATTCTTAGATTGAATAAGGATGTATTTCATTATTACTATCTTTTGAATGGGCACAAGGAATTACTGATTTTTGCAGGATTTCAGTTTCTTACAGACACAGCAACAGGAGTGACAAGAATTCCACGTTGCTAAGTTCTTGGTTTCTTCTAGATATATCTCTTCACTCAGGAATGTTGCTTTTAATCCAAATAGGCATTTGGATTGCTGTAAAAACATTGGAGAAATTGGTCACTGCTCTGTGGTAGTTGAAAGGAGAGGACTAAGAACAGATGTCTTTTACCTCAATTGTGGTAACAGCTGAGTTAGGGCTTGGTCTGGGAAGGATACAAATGTAATGGTAGCTGTAGCAAGGATAAATGAGAGCACAGGTGTCCTGGTACTGCTTCACATTAAAACGTTATATGGAAACAGACAAAAAGAGCAGGTATTAGAGTAATCTGTATATAAAGTATAAAGTAAGGACAGACATATAGAACAGTAAGCTTTGGTCAGCAAAAATTGTGATTAATTCAAATAATTCAGCTTTTTTTCCTGTTTTTAGTTTTTTTGATAATAGGTGGGTGTAAATATAACTATTTGCAACTTAATAACTTAGGAGGTTACTGCTTTGATTGGGTACTGATTTTGCAGGATTCAAAAAAAAAGTGACCATACAAAAAAATGCCTTCATCATTGTGAGAAATGCTGCTCACTCTTAAAATTTCAAAGGTTTATTAAACCTTAACAAAATACAACAAAAGGACTGAATAAGGAAAAAGACCATACAAGGGGGAAAGAGGGACTCTAGCAAGAAAAGAGGACATCCAAACAACAAATCGAACTTCTCATAATATACATAAAATATTAATCTCTTAATTGCGAGAGCAAACCAGTGCATTAACCACCTATACCAAACCCCCCTTTCTCTTTTCTGTAAGTCATTTGGCTCGAGCAATTAATTCCCATTTTTAATTTTGATGATCTACTCTTCTCTTGAGTCCAATTTAATTTTGGATGAGTCATAATAGTATCTGTTGATGTGAGTGAGAACAGTGGGATCAGGGAGAAAAAAACCTCAGGTTTAGCTTAAGTAAAATGATTGGTGGAGTTGTTGACGTGAATTGGACATGATCTGTTGGAGCAGACAAAAGGGGATCACAGAGGTCTGGTATCCCTGATCTACCCTGCCCATGGGGTTGCTACTCATAGCAGGTGTATCTTGCAGGGCAAGTACAGAGGCCAACATGAGCTGGCCCTCTAGTCCCTGTTGTACTCTATTTGTCAATTGTACCTGTATTGGATTCTGTAGGGAAAAGACAATGGAGGAATGATAGAGGTCTGGTGTAGCTTGTGCCCCCACATTACTAAGCTTATGGGGTTGCTGCCCTCAGCAGGGATATATAATCTTGGTGGCGAGCACAGGGGCCAGCCTGGTCTTGCCCTCTAGTCCCTTACTTGTCAATGCCCAAGTGAACTACCCCAGCACCTCTCACTGTTCCCTGTGTACTTCCCCTCAACAGACACTTGCAATCCCTACCCATTAGAATGTGACAATTACCTTAATAACTGATACAATTCAAATTCTCCACCCAAAGTGTTACTTAAAACAGTCCTCAAGCTGGCTGGTGGGAAGTGTGACTCTACTTTTTGGACATTATATCCCATACTGAGCCGTCATTTGTGAGAAATGCTGCTCATTTTGAGAATTTCAAAGGTTTATTAAGCCTTAACAAAATACAACAAAAGGACTGAATAAGGAGAAAGAGGAGCACTGGGAGCGTGGAACTAAACTGCATGTGCTCACCCACAAAATGGCTGCTCCACCTTTTATACTTTTGGTGTTGCATCAGCCAACTCTGGCCTCTTGCAAAGTCTGTCAGTCAACTCCTTCACCATCCATTGGTGTAGACTACTTCCTTGCAACTTGATTGGAGGTCAGGTGTTGTCGTGCTGCGCCTCCTAGCAGCAAACCTACCCTTCTCCCAAATGCCCCATGCAAGGGGCACAGGCTCTCCTTCCACATGTCCCAGCTACCAAGGCCATCTCTTGGCAACCATACAGGGGGGAAAGGAGACTGTGGGGAGAACAGAGAACATCCAAACAAGAAATCACAATAATGTAACTATACATTAATAGAACTTCTCTTAACATACACATAATATTAATTCTGTAATTGCAGGAGCCAGCCACTGCATTACCCATCTATAACAATCCCATAAAAATTCCATACTTTGGAAGTGTTTTTAATATTTCTGCATTTAAAATGGCTGCAGGTGGCTCAGAAGAAAAATGGTTTAAAAATAAGAGAGTAATTCTTCCTGTGTAAGGTTTTTTTTTTTTTTGTTCGGATTGCTTGGATTTCTCCTTTCATCTGTGCTTATCTCATATGTGACTTACCAAAAGGGTGAATCAAATTAGCAGTCCTGTCCTCTCATCGATTTGTGTTGGAATGGAAGAGAACAAATCCAACCTCATAGCAGTTTGGCAAGTTAAGTTCATTGTGTTCTGCAAGAACTTTTGTGGAGAAGTTGGTAGAAGAGTGAGGGGAATGGGTAATTTGCTCTTCCAAGCAGTCACTATCTTCTAAATCATCTCAACTATCACAAGAAATCATACCATGTTTTAGGTCAGCAACTTTTCAGCTGCGTTCCCTCATACTAATTCAGATGTGTTTTATTGCTTGCTAAAACGTTGTTCTGTTTATCATTTTCTTCGTGCAGTGCTGAATTAGTGTCTTAAATAAAATATAATTGTGTTGCACAGAGCAGCACTAAATTATTACTGAAAATTAGTTTTTCAAATGCTAGACTTTCAAGTAATAGGAACAACACAAAAATGTTTTGAAACATTCAAATTTTCTATCTACTGTTACTTTGGACACCTCAATGAAAACATACATTATCTAATCAGTAAACCTGTAAAACACTGACATCTACCTAGAATAGTAGGAACTTCAGACTTTTTCAGTTGTGTACTAAGTAAACTTTGGTATAGAAGGACTTGCTAACTTGTTTAGTTCCTCTGCAAAGTCTGACCTCAGCAACTGCTTATTATTCAAAGAACTTTGAAAGCCATACAGGTAATGACGTTGGGCAGCAATTTAAGTATGCCACACTCAAAGAACCAACCCATTTCAAGAAAAGCTGACAAACATGCCCTGTGACCAACCATACCACCATCTCCATGCTAATTGATGCCATGATGCCATGCCATCAGTCTAACAGGTTTGTCATACAGCAGTCTGAAATACTAATTTCTTTAATCGAGGGCAAACAGTTGGACAGCTTGAGGTTGCAGTCCTCAACTTCCAAGACCTGACATCTGGACTACTGACATTTGCTCTTTTCAGGGCAACAAACCTAAACATTAATTGAATGGAATAAATACACAGAGGATTATAAAGAAAAGGTTATAGGAGAGGTTCCTGAGAGTCATCATAACAATTCTCTGCTTAGGCTGTGCACAGTCAGGAAATAGCTTTTGATTCTTTTTACATGATAGACTCATAGTATGCAATAACCTATTTTTACTTTTCTACAAGTAAAATACTGTTAGATGCCTGATAATTCCAATAAAGAAAGAAGTTTCCTAGGTTTTTAAAAAGCTATATATTTCCCATGACAATAGATTTCACTTTTAATTTGGTATTTCTGTAGTTTGAAACGGAGATTTTAAAGTAATATTCCTGATAAGTTTAGAACTGATGAAGTGCACAGGATTCTAACTTTCCTAGTGATGTAAGCTTAAGTGGCAAGTTCTTACTAATATTGTGGCATCAGTCTGAAGTTTTACTTCCTTCAGATGTCTGTGACATTTCTCTTCTAGAAACTGCTACCTCCATGACAAAATGAGCAGAAAATAACTTGTAGCTAGACCTTTGCTGCTTCAGTATAGTCTGTTGGTGTGCCTAAATTAAGTAAGCTAGAGATGCAGGTATTTTCTTCCCTTTCACTAATTCTTCTGTGAAGACACTAGCTTGGGCAGACAAGTGGAGATGATACTGAAACTCCTATAGCTTCTGATTTTGGACAGACTTGCCAAAGAGCAGTGGTTTATTCATATGAACTTGGAAAAAGCTACCAGTTTTACTATCAAAGTACAGTTTGTCTTTTCCTTCCAGATGAAAAGAGTGTGAAGATATATGTATGAAATGCTGTGTTGCAAGCCTAGCCTGTGTTCTGTTAGTTAGTTGAATTCACACTCATTTTTAAAATAACTGAGCCTTCATTTTCTTCCAGATACATTATTTCATTGTTTCTCTATGTTATGGTGATTTTTTAACTTCATTGTAAAGTTGAAAAGTAATTAAAATAAATATTAGAAAGTTTTCCAACTCTTTAGCATTCTAATAATAATGCTAAAGAGCTGGAAGAGTTAGAAGAGTTTAGAAGAGTTTGCTTTAAGCTATTTATAAATCTCTATAATGGTGAATGTATAAATGTACTTCTTCACTATCATTTTAAAAGACTCTAGATGCCATCTTCCTCAATACCTTGTTGAAAAACACACCTCAACTGAATTGGATTTGGCTTTCTTCAATTGCAAATGAATTTAAATTTAATTTGAATATTATTAATCCAGTTATTTTAATTTTTGTTTAGCACTTGACAGAGGAGAAACCAGAAGGCCTTATTAATGAAGCATCTCGGTATGGACATATAAATTAATTTTATACATCAAGTTGGGAATTGCACTATATAAAAGTTCACTGGAAATGGGTTTTTTTAATAGGGCTTTTTTTCTCCTGCTTTGCATAAATGGAGGTAGATTGGTGTAATGGGGTAAAATGTTAATAAATGCTTCATTTAATCTTTCTGCCAAGAACAGACTCTTCTAATAGTGATGGGATTTTATTTAGATGAATGAGAAGTACCTGTGTTGGGGAAATTTCATGTTAGGATGTACCATGCTTGAAGCAGAACTGGCAAGAGAGGAATACTTTTTAATAAATGTGGAGCCACAATAATTAAGGGTTATTGTAACAGTTAAGTCTTCATAAAACAGACTTCAAGTATTGCATTACAAGGACCACATGCAAGGCAAATAGGGATTTGTAAAGTTGTTAAATCACTAACCACTTTGGATTAGATGACATAAAAATCCTGAAACAAACAAACAAAACAACCCCAAAATAAAAGAATCTAGCAAGCCTTGATTTGATCTGTTAGGACACAGAAGAACATATTGAGGAAAAGTCAGCAGTACTTTAATCATTCTCCATGATGTTCTAGTTTGATTAATGCTTGCTCTTCTGTAATAACAATGTTGATCTATCTTTGGGACCATGGGAGAGATGATGTTTCTGCCTTACAGATAAAGTTTTATTCATTAGTGATGTCTTTTTCTCTCTTTTTTTTCTTAATATATAGGCAGGTTGCATTAGCTGATCTTATAATCATCAATAAAACAGATTTGGTTTCAGAGGAAGAATTGAATAAGGTCAGAACATCTGTGAGGTATGAAACTTTGACATGATTGTAACACTACTTCATCAAAAATTAATTTTAACATAGTTACTTCTTTACTGCTGTTAGAATAGAAATTAAATCTCATTATTGGATTGGCAAAAATTGATAAGCTTACAAAAGAAAAGAGACTGCCTCTTGCTAAAGATATTTCAGTACTTCTGTATACTTACACAATCTTAGCATTTTGTCTATCTAGGTAATATTTGATGTTATTTACAAGGGCAGGCCTTTATTAAGGACAGGCCTTTGTCTTAAGTGTTTATGTTTTTACATTTCTGAGCAGCTGTTACCATTTTTGAGAATTAGCAGAAGTAGAAAAAAATCTGCCAGTAAATATGAGATCACTAGCAAATGCAAAGATATATAGAGGAAGTCCCAAACAATTGTCATGGGAGCAGAAGAACCAATGGTCTGAATCAAATTAATGATAGAAGACATTACTCTTTTCTATCAATACCATGATAAGCCAAATTAAGCATTAACATTTTAAAATACTTTACAACTATATTAGGTTTTTGAAATATGAAAATAAAAATGCTTAGATTGAGCAGAATGTATTGTGAATAGCTTTGGATAGGAAAATGCTGTTCTCACTGGAGGTATCATGTTGTCAGAACTTGTGAGGTTCCCCAGCTGTTAGTGGAACATGTTATTAGCTTGTTAAATAACTATCAGCCCATATCTGATAGTTATATAACAGGATAATACCATAGTTGGGATGCTATTTCATGTGATGCTGTCCATGGTTAACATATTAAAACAATATATCATGGTTATATTTTCATCTAACTAATGATTTTTCTGTTTTATTTTAGGTCAATAAATGGACTTGTTAAAATTCTAGAGACACAAAGATCAAGGTATTAAATGGCCACTATTACTAGGTAGTAGATCCTGCTTATGTATAGACAGTTCAAAGTGTTCTATTAAATCAGCTTTACTAAAGGAAAATTACTGAATTAGAAATATTTTATCCAATATTTATTTTATGAATAAGCATCTAGAAAAAAAATTTTGAGGAATTACGTTTTTCTTTGTTAGTGTTTATATCACAGAATGCCAGAATGAGTGAAGTTGGAAGAGAGCACAGTGGGTCATCTTGTCCAACCCTCTTGCCTAGCAGGGTCATCCCAGAGCACATGGCACAGGATGGTGTCCAGATGGTTCTTGAGTATCCCCCATGAAGGACACCCCACAGCCTCTCTGGGAAATCTGTTCCAGTACTTGGTCATCCAAGTAGTTCTTGCTCATGTTCAAGTGGAACTTAACTGTTCCTGCCTGTTGCCTGGCAGCACTGAGAGCCTGGTCCATCCTCTGGCACCCTCCCTTCAGATACTTCTATACACTGAGGAGATCCCCTCTCAGTCATCTTATTGAGTCTGAACAGGCCCTGCTCCCTCAGACTTTCGCCATTAGTGAGGTGCTCCAGTTCTTTTAACATCTTTGTTGCCCTCCCCTGGACTCCCTCCAGGAGCTCCATGTCTCCTCTGTGCTGAGGAGCCCATAACTCGGCACAGAACTCCAGGCACAGCCTTACTAGAGCTGACTGGAGGGGCAGGATTGCCTCCCATGAACTGCTGGCAATGCTCTTCCTAATGCACCTCAGGACACCCTTGGCCTTGTGATTGAAGAGCAGCTTGCATGGCCAGGTTGGTTTTGAGCTAATAATTGGGCATGTGCATTACAGTGTTTTCCTTCAATTGTGTCACCTTTAATATTATTCTCATTGCTGCTGCAAATAAGTTGTTACTACAAGATTACTTTGAAAGCAGTGAAAGGAAGTTACAAGAACAAAAAAAAAAAAAATCATTGCACTGTTTTTTTCTATTTTTAATTGATTTTTAATTGAAATTGTGACTCGGATTTCTGATCTTCTTTAATAAGGACTTAAATGGATACTGTATTCCCAGGAGCATTAGGAGGGCAGTATATCTCTCAGACTGCTGGGACTGATTTGTGCACATTGATATCAATTATTGGATTATTGTGGTCAGTGTTCATAAAATATAGGCTTTTGATTTAAACAAATTTAAAGGGAAGGTAATAGTCATAACCTAAATAAAGTATACATGGCTTTTTAAAGTTACTGTCAAATGTAGTTTGAAATTGTAGAGAAAAATACTTGCTGTTGTTGGGTGATCAGATAGGACCAGTTTTGAAGAAGACACTGAACTACATTATTTGTGTTTTAAATAACATTATGGGGAGATCCAACATGTGATCTCTTTACATATTGTATGATGTCTGATGCCAGCTAGCACTATTTGTTGAATATGAGATAAAGTGGGCCTCAGCTTGAGTCCTCCATGACAACTCTTTCTTACTTGTAAATATTGCTCTGTAAATGATACATATGCTATCTTCCATTATTAAACATTCCAAATGTGAAATAAGCACAAAATTAATATATTGGCATGTTATTTGAGGACATAACCTTTTTTAGAGGGGTTTGTCCCTCAAATCCTGCATTTAAACGGGAGGGTTACTATGTGATTTTTTAGAACACTGCTGAAAACAGCTGACACTGAGCTGGTCATGAATTTTACACATTAATTGTTTGTGTATTCTGTTATAAGTCTTTAATCTTAGAAACTGCTTGGTACAATTGCTGTTGGATGTAAAAGTTTAATGATTCTGGTTGTATTCCAGAGGTGGGTGTTTTTTTACCTGTCATGTTATTTTTATTTAGCCACATGTCATTAACTGCATATGAAAAGCTGCCAGTTGCAATTAGCAGTGAAATCAGTAGTTTGTATTACTTTGTGAAGAAAAGTTTATTATGTAAGTTTATAGGTAGCCATTCTTGTAAGCAGATATGATTGGTACTGCCTATTCTGTATTACATTTTTATTTTGTCTGTTTCAAATTGTAAAGTTGAAATTCCTAGTAGTAATGCTTCCCTTATAAAGTTTTTTTCAGTTTTGTTTTCTAACAGTGTGTCAGTATAAGCTACATGTATTGCAGGGGTTTGTGTCTGTTTCAAGAGGCTCAAGGTTCCTTTTCTGCTTCAGGGAAAATAATTTATTATTCAGGCATCCAGTATAAGGGATTTTATAATATTTTTTGAAATACCTTGTCTTTTACTGTAAAACAGTACAATTTAAAAAATTTTGTTTCTGTACTTTCGTGTTATTGTGTAGCGAAACACAGCATTTCCTTGTAGAAGGCAGTACCAACCACTGATATCCAAATATATGGCTAAGTATTAGTGGCATTAGTCTGATAGACAAGAAAAGAAACATTTGCTTCAGTGAACACCTTTAAAACCTGACATTTAAATACATGAAAAATACAAAACTTTCATTTTTCCCATCTCTTTAGAGTTGATCTCTCTAATGTCTTGGATCTACATGCTTTTGACAGTTTATCTGGAGTAAGGTATGGTGATAATTTTTTTGTCTTCTATTAAATAAAAATACCTGTGTATGAAACTGACACACTGAAATCCTGGCTCAAATTTGCATCTGAGTTTCTGTTAGAAATTCTAGTTTAGTCTGTCCTGTCTAGACCAGGGCAGCCATAAGTGGTAATATCAGATGGAATTCCTTTCTTCTTCAAATGCTGTCAAAAACCTTTTTGATCTTATAAAGTTAAATGAGCCAGAATATGTATGGTTGGTTGGGTTTTCTCCCCAAAATGCAAGTATTGGTTTAGTATCAGAGTAGATTTGTACACTTCTCTGGTTCTTTTAAAGCAATTCAAAATTTTTCTCCTTTTTATTATGATGAAATGGAGGCCTCTGTAGATTTCACATGAAAGAATGAGGGACTGAGGTTCTACAGCAAATAAAGGCTCTACAAATTCTGATAACTGCGTTTGTCATTTCTGGGGTTTTTAAATGCTGAGTGTATGATTCAGCATCCTGAATGGGTGCAGAAATAAAATGGGAAGGAAGGGGGAAAGGTCTTTCTGTTCATCTGAGTGCTGAAGCACAGCAAAGTACTGGAGTTCTGGAGCAATCGTAAAGGAAAGGAGGGAAGAAGAGGGCAGTATCGGCTTCATTCTCTTCCTGGATACAGACTTTTCACTTCACATAATAGAATGGAGCAAATTCCTTATTCACACTAGGGAGAAATTGCAGGACATGCAAATTAGTGACCTCTGTTAGATAACATGTGCTTGTGAGATTTCCCTCTGAACTGGTACAGTACTATAAAAATGATAGGTTTTGTGTGGTTTTTGCTGGCACTGGCTTTTGTCTAATCAGTGAAATACTGTGGTGTTTTTTTTTAAGATTTCTACCAATTGGCAGCATCAGGAAAATACCAAACTAGGCATCCAAAACAAAGTTAAGGGAGGAGGGAGACTGATATATCCTTTAGAGGCATTAGATAACTATTAGTTTGTAAGCCAGATCATAACCCCATATTCCAAGTTCTTATAGTGAATCAGCTAACTGAATTGACTCATGCTGGACACACAGCAGAGTTAAAGCAGTAAAAATATGTGAACCAGAAAAAGATTGTTCCTGTTAACGGCAGTTCACAGTTAGATTTGATTACTTGTAATATTAGGTGGTGTTCTGTGAAGTTTACTAGTTTGCTGCACTCCACAGATCTGAGAAAGTTATTAAGGAACTGACAAAAAAAAAATCCTTATTGCTTTCCTCAGGCTAGTCTTCTCTCTTATCTCACTCAATTACTTAGAGCTTCTCAATATTTGGTGTTAAAACAGAGGAAACACTTTAAAATGTCAGCATTTAAAGACAAATTCTAAATTGTGAAGAAGATTGTAGACTACTTAAAAGAAGTTCAGTCTATTTTGTATATGTTTGAACTCAGCACAATGAAATTGCTTACCCTGGTTTTAGTCCCTAGACACAGAAATTCTTACATAAAATAATAGTGGTGGTTTCAGTGCCATCACCTGAACAGAAAATCTCTGCATCCAGCACCACAATACATTAATAATTTTTTTTCTTTTAATGGCATACTGCAGGAAGGATTTCTGTCAGCAGACAGATGCAACATCTGTTTGGTGTCACAGTGTGGTAGAACGCTGTAGTCTGTATACACCCTGAAGTCACAGGAAACACATCATGAATTGTGGATACTGTGAAGGGCAGTATGAGAAGAAGACAGCAAAACAAAGGAAATAGAACTAGGAATGTGAAATGTTACTTCTGTAGCAGACAGTGAGATTTTTCCCCACCATAAAGGCTTCTTAAAATTTTACAGTCATCAAATGAGGAGGAGGGATTTTTATGGGCAATCTTCTCTGAAGTGGCAGAGGGCATCACAGTAACTTCTGCTACAGTGTTTCTTCCTGTGTGTTATCCACAATATAGAGAGAAAATAGAAACAGTACAGAAGATGGTATTTGAAGAAATTTTGTGCTGTCTTGATTAATTGAGACAGATGTGGATGTGAAATCTAAAGCTGCAGTACAATTTTCTGTTGTCACACTAAAAGATGCAGTAAGACCGTAAATATTATTTCACAAAAGAAGTTCCCAAGTAGAGCTTGAACTTGAGGTCTTATTGAGTAGAGAGTATCTGTTTTAAGTTAGCAGGCACACTGCATAGTAGAAGCAAGCTGTACAGCTGAGAAGTGGAAGCTGGTATACAGTATTTCAATTCATGTTACAGATTTTCTTCTCTCAAGCAACAGCTTTTTAAATTATTTTCTTCTTGATTTTCAAATAATTGTGAAGTTTTCTAAAAAACCAACATCTATGAACTCGATAAATTCTAGTGGTTTCATTTTTCTTGCTTGTTTTTATGATGTAGTTTGCCTTTTTTGCAGAAAGGAGTATCAAGGGTATTGTGTTCATTGAAGTATAAATGTTTTTAATGCTGAAGATATTGCAAATCTGGACTATAATTCTCCTTATGTTTTAAAAAGCTTAATTTTCTAACACAAACAATTAAGTATATCAAACAAATATAATTAAACATTTCTATTTTGAGATTAAAAATTAATTGTTGGCACTTATTCTGGATATGTGGTCTATCTTTGATATTTCAGCTTTGCTCTGCAATACTGGAATTTTTAAAGTTTTGAACTAATGAAATTTTGCCAACCCTACTCAAATGTGACATTTAACTTCACTTATTTTCAGTTTGCAGAAAAAGCTTGAGCATGTAAAGACAACACATGCACATCTAGATAAGGTAATTACGAAAAATACTGCTTTGATGTTTTTGCAACAACAGGGCTGTTCAATATTGCATGGTGATTTTGTTACCGTTTCAGAAGGTTTCAGTTAGGGAGTAATGTGTTATAAGGTATTTGGAAGATGACCTAGATTACACAAAAGGAATGTGCTTTGTTGTAGATAGATTCTAAATGGCTATATTATATTATCACTTTCAAAAATAGCGTATAAGCTTCCAGTGCTCCAGACAGTCATGTAATTTGTTGAGTCCCATGGAGAGTATTAGTGAACCAAATAGAACTATGGGGTTTTTTTAGGTATTTGCAGAAACAAGTTGTAAATTTGCAGCCAGTCTGTCCTGTAGGTTTTCTGTCCAAAACAAAATCTCTCTGGTTGAATTGTGGTAACAGTCCACCTTAGGGTGTCCCTGGGTGGGTGGGATTCACCCATAGGCCACCAGTCCCCTCAGTGGCTGCAAAAAAAGTAAGAACTTCTATTTTTTAAAGTGTCTTAGAAACCTTTTTGCAGAAGCTTTCTATGATTGAATTTAATTTTCAGGCTAAAATATGATGCATACGCTGCCTGTGGTTTTCTTTTTAAACTGCATATTTTAACTGTGAAGTTGCTAGTCTTGAAAGCAGGAAAAGGCAATTATAATTTAATTTTGGAACTAAAGATTAAATACAAAATCAGTTCATGCTTAATTATAATTACAATAACAATTTTGATAGTTTTTGTTTAATCAAAATTCTTAAGTATGCTCAGTTATAGAATCTTAATAGATCCGTAAAGTAGATGGAAAGGTTAAATAGAATCCTTCCTGAATGTTATGAGTTATAGTATCCTTGTGTTATTAAGGAAGTTATTGTTAATTTTGTAGTGTGGAGCCATTCAACATAATTGGTTGTTAGTATCTGTGTTTAGTTAACACCCACATATTTAAGATGACTGTTGAGACATTTGAGGTATAATGAAGGCAGAACACTTCTCACAGTAGGCTGCAAGTCCTTGTTGTAAGACAAAGTGTGCTTATTATCTTCACGTTGAAGGTCAACCAAAACAAACTGCACTGTGCTCGGAGCAAAGTGAACTTGGGTCTGACATGTTTTGAAGCTGCTCAGAATGTTAACTCTTAATTGTTTAGATAAGTTTACTTGGTTTACTTAGACAAACATTTGCTGCTTGTTGCTTTATTTTTTTTCCCCTTTAAGTTAGACTAGTCATCAGAAGGTAGTAGTTTGAAGGCGTTACAGGAAGTCATTCTCTGTTCTTCCATACAATTGAGCAGTTATAGTGACAAAAATAAGATGTATTATTTAGTCTTTAACTAAATTGTTAATTTTAAACTACATGTTTTCTTTTTTTTTTTTTTTTTTTATAATAACTGATCCTGAGCAGTTAGATGGTGGTTGCTTTGGCACAAAACTTAACTTCAGACATCTTGATTTTCTCAGCCTATTCCTACATAGTCTGTTTATAAACAGCTTTTGTTATGAGGCAAGTACAGGTTGCCTTTTATGAAAACTATGTTGATTATTTTTTGTCTGATAGAGTTGTCATCAAGATGAGTAAGCCAAAAAAAGAGCATTGTTAACCATATTTGAAAGCTTGATCATAATAGTCTCTACAGCAAAGAATTACATGGTAGCAACTAATGGCATTAAACTGTTCAAAGCATTGTGTATGCCCTGTAAGTGCACACCCAAACAGAAAAAAAAAGTAGAACTTAATTTAGCAAGTTAGAGCAGAACAGAAATAGAGATTTTTTTTTTTAAATTTGATGTTGTCATATAATTGCCTTTTTATGAGGCCAAGTTATAAAGAACCATTTTTGAAATTACTGTTATGGGATGTTTGTTCAGTGTAGTAATAATAAGTGTATCTTTCTGTTTGCAGGCTATAATTACAGTAACATTTGATGTTCAAGGAACTATAAAAGAAGAAAACTTAAATCTCTTTATTCAGGTAAGTAATATATCACTGTCAACTCAAAAAAATATTGTAACTTTTTATAGAAACTCATCCCATGCCACTTTGTTTATTGAAACAAATTTTTCTTTTCATAGAATCTTCTGTGGGAGAAGAATGTGAAAGATAAGACTGGATGCAGCATGGATGTCATAAGACTGAAGGTTAGTCAGAAATTATCAGCTTCTTTGTTTTGTACTTTTTGTCTTTACACCTAAGAATCTGCATTATGCTGTCAACACAATGACAGCACAATTAAAGACCTATCAGAGGTGCTGTTGATCACTGTAGCAGAGCAGATGAAATGGAGAGTAGCAAGTTGTCATTCCAAGAATGACTCAGGAAGAGATAGCTGGCAGAGGAGCAAACATTGATCATGTACAGACATCAGTGCAGGGTTAAAAATCAAGCCATAGTTATATCACTTTTAATTTTCTACCTCCATTGCTTTGAAAGATACCATCCATCTCACATATCTATGGTTGGGATATTGTAGATTGGATCCTACAGATTGCTAGGTATACTTAAAATTGTTGCCATAATATGCAGAAATTCAATTTGGCGTAACATAGGAATGCAATAGTAGTTGTGGTCTACAATTAACAGCTTCTTACGGTATTGTCAGGCTATAGTTTTAAAGATGCAGCTCATAAGCTTTCATCTTTGTGGGCACTTCATATGTTTTTCAGTTGCTTGGTTTTGAGAGGAGTAGAGGTGACAATTCAGGATCTACTTTCACTTACCTTATACCAAGCAGCCAAGTAAACAATGAAAGTCCAGTCAGTCATTTGTCAGGCTGTAAGAAATATAAGAAAGTAAAGCTCTGGTTTGTTTCCTGAGAACACTTGACCATCACAGATAGCAATATAATTATTCTAGTTTTATCAGAAGGAAATTTGTTTTTTTGCTTTCTCAGCAACAAAATTAGAGTATCCTGGTCTTCTCCTTCCTGGCAAATAGAAGAGAACAGCCACGGATGTATCTGAAGCTGCCTGAAAAGCAGTAATGCCATGCACAAGCACATTTCTGGTGTATTGAGCATTGGAATCAAATTAATCCTTTATGAAATGTGAAGCCTGTGATAATATGTGTGATGTCCCTCAGTCACAGAAAAATACATCAAAGCAAATGAACCCCAGGCAACTAATTACATAACAGGTTTCAGAGTTTGTTGCTTTTATATTTATATTTTATCTGCAGTCATAACCTTTTTGGCAGTAATAGTTATAGAATTCCAACTAATAGGTCAAATGGAGACCTATTTTATGAAATATTTTTAAGTGTTTCTTTTTTTAGGGAAGTGTCCTGGCTTAGGGAAAATTCTGGGAGGAACTTCCAGGAAGTATAAGACATGTTTTACAGAATGTGTTCCACTAAAATATTTTAGAACATTGTCCTATGAAGTGATGAAAACTGTTTTAATAGAGTTTTTGATATGTGGGTTAGTAGACTCACACTGACTGTGATCCCTTCTAAGACTGTTGCTTTTGTTTTACTTCACAAATGTTTACTCTTTCTCCAATATTCAGGGATTTTGTTTCAGAAAAGTAAATACACTAAGCATAAGAGCTTAATTAGGCTAACCTGAAATCAAACGTTTTTGTTCATTTTACATTATTTTGTTGGCAGGCAAGCTTTCATGGACTCCCATTGTCAAATACCATGTATTCAAAGAGGCATAGTAGATGATGACATTTAATTTTTGATTGGGCAGGCTAGGTACTGACCAATGAGGAACAGAAAGCAAAGTATGGTAAAGTGTAATTCTTAACCTTTAACAAAATAAGGAGATCTGAAAATGGAAGTTATGAGTAGATGTATTGATTGATAATATACGTTTATTTTGACTAACAAGTGCATAGGTGCCAGAAGTATTCCCTGCTTGAACTAGATTGAAAGTTTTGTTTCCCCTCTTACATATTTTAGTTTTAAAGTTTTGTTTATATACCCTAACAGTTATTTTTCTGATAAGGGACTGGTATCTATTCAAGGCAAATCTCATCAAGTGATAGTCCAAGGTGTCCATGAACTCTATGACCTAGAAGAGACTTCAGTTGCATGGAAAGAAGATGAAAAGAGAACAAACAGGCTGGTCCTAATTGGTAAGGGGAAATTACACATCTCCTTGTTTGAGTTTAAGAAGCTGGTTTTTTCACAGACAGTCTCACAGACTTAGCCAGTGAAAAGCAATCAAGCTAAACTGCCCAGAATTAGTGCAGTATGGTCAGCATAACTCTCTCTCAAAGGCTTATCCATCAAAACCTCCTGAAGTTCAGAATTGCAGCTGAGAGGAGTCTACACTATCCCTATTAGTGCCACCAAAATCAAACCAAATAAAATCAATAAAATACTAAGCTTTCATAAATTATGTTGGCATATTTAATGTTATTTCTAAAATCTGTAGTTACAAATTGGGTGATGGGAATAGAAGGAAGGTTATTATAGCTTTAAAATGCTTAAAATCAGATTTTGTTTCTGAAAAGCTTGCAGTGCTGAGGTTCTGTGTTTCTACTTTCTATTTATTTGCTTGTTGTGCGAAGTTTTATTACCAGAAATAACCTACTTTTCCCCCTTATCTGTGCAACTTGAAGTCTGTTGTTGCCTTAATTTTAATACTGCTATTCTCACTGATTGATATAATAAACACTTCTTAGGTTAGAAGAAGCTACTTGTATGTGTGTTTTTTTGTAATGTACTGTAAATACAGTTAGATATTTTATTTCTCTTTACAGGCAGGAACTTGGATAAGGAGATCATCAAAGAAGTATTCATAGCCACTGTGAGAGAAGAACAAGGAAACAGTTGACATAAAAATAAAAAAAAAAAAATTAAATGTCTGTTTTAATCCTGCAAGGATTTTATTCCAGAAAAGACTGAATGGCATGGACTGTAGTAGTTTCTATAACCTCTTGCAGTTTATGCAACAGTTGAACCCTGAAGTCTTCCTAAGAATTCCAGCTGACCTACCGCTTTAAGATTAGCTCTTATGGTCTATAATGAAACACAAATCTCCTATTTTGGATTTGGCTGAATCTGTGTCAGCAACATCATGTAACTGTGTGGAAATGGAGATAGGCAAAAGTTATCTCCATTACTTTAGGGGTATTGGAAACGTGTTTGAAGCTTAGTGTTTTGTCTTGCTAACTCTCTTCCACTGGGAATGAAGCAATAGTGATTATTGCCACTGATGTAATCACAGTAAAAAATGTTTAGTGTTTAATATTAAACTGTCTTCCATCTCTTTCCACTTGCTTTGTGATTTTTGAGTATGTGCACCCATCCTGTTGTACCTGTAAACCTGTTGTGTAATGAAACTAAGTACAAATACTAAGGTACAAGATCACATTGAGTAAATGCCGTCTACACAAAAGCTGTGAATGCAGTGTTTGGTCACACAGTCAGGAGTTTGAAAGAGGTAGCTGAACTCTTCGATATCCCAGGCCATCACCCTGCCAGTTCCAGATTTGGGGAACTGGGGACTGCACATTTCCACCGTGTTCAGGCTGCTCTGCATGATTTGTTACAGAGTTCTGTGACACTACTTTAAAAACCTGGTCTGAAGCTTTTATCTCTCTACTCATTACAATTTTAGAGTTGAGTTTCCTGTCCTGTACATTCTCCAGTACTCTTGTTCACCTCTTAGCTTTAGAGGGATATTGCTGTGTGAAAGCAAAATAAGTCAATGCGAGAAGATAATGTAGAATTAAAAATGTTTGCAAACAAAATTCTAGGACATGCAGTTCTGAAAGATGAACTTTTAGCTAGAGTGCTTGCTGTGGATGCTTGGTGATGTGCCTGACTAAGCAGAAGCTTGTTTTCACTACCAGGAGTGTATTAGTTGTCTCACACCTAACATTAAAAAGAAAAGAAAGAGGGCCACTCTCAGTCTCTCCTTCAGCCAATATCAACAGTCTTAATTTTTTTCACTTTGCTTCTGTTGGAATATATGGGTTTGGAATTTGTTTTCAAGAACTGAGGATGAAGACATTAATCTTTCACTGCCCAGTGCTGGTGTCTCAATAGATTAAAATATTTAAGTCATGTATCTTAGCTAAGATAGAATTACTCTCCAGTAGGTATATCAGCAGGCATGACTTCATTCCTCACATTAGAAGTAATTTTAGATAGGTTGAAGTAGTTTTCAGGACTTAATTTTTTCTCTAAAGCAAGGTATAAAGAAAGAACAATCTGCTTACACAATGTTGCTTTCTGTTTAGCAGACCTTGGTGGCATTTGAGTGAACTGGTATAGCTGAGTGATACTGTTTCCCTTAGCAGTTAGAACTCTTCATTTTAAAAACGAATATATGTTCTCACACTCTTTTGAACTACATAAATGACACACAGTCCTGCAGGGAAATTTGTCAAATGATTGCCATCACTGTTATTTACTGAGTAATAAGATCACATATATTTAAATTAATGGATAATACATTTACAATTTTTGGTGATTTTGCTTCTATTTTTCACAGGAAAAGTGATCAAAATACCTCTTATTTTATAAATGCCTCATGTAATAGAGGAACTCTGTTCTCTTTGAAGTGATTAATCTCTGAAGTGTTACTAACTTTCAGTTTGAAAAAAAGTTCAGAGATGTAATAAGATCTTCAATCACAAGTCATAAGGGAAAAAGGCATAGATGGCTTACACTGAGGCATTTTTTTGATGATTATTTTTTAATATTTGTTCACTCACCACACAGTCCACCACACTCTAAAATTTCCATGATCTCTGTCAATATACTGGGGATTTTTGTTGCTGTAGAGGGTATCTGCAGCTGGAAGTATAGGCTCTGCTCTCTGTATGCTCATGTTGCTAGGACTTTCCCTGCACTGCTTGCAATGATAATGTCAGAGAAGCTCTAGTCAGTATGCACATCTTTGCTTGTCTTCTCTAAACTGCCTGCATATTTCAAGGGATCCCATGGGATGGAGAGCAAGCAGCTACTCAGCAGTTTATACTCCTCTTGCTGGCTGTCAGGATACCTCAGTGCCTTGTTCTCTATTCTGTTCATGCATAATAACACTGGAAACATGCCAAGCACCTGGTCTTTATCCTCACCTCCCAAGACCACTGGTTACATTACTTGGATATTTATTTAACCAGCATTTTCTCCTCTGGTCTTACATGCCCAGCTTGGGGTGCTGAGCCTTGTCTTTGCATCACTCCAGAACCAAAAGAGGAGGAAAGATAATGACAGCTCTGGAAAATCTGTGTTATGGGGAGCTGTGTCAAGAATGGCCTTCTCCAAGGAACTGGAATTGGGTTGAAGTGAGGTTGTGGAGGAGGGTGAAAGGGGCAAGCAGATACCACTCAGCCCTGTCTTGAGGCTATGGTGTGGATGGTGGAGTAGCCAGGGATGCTCAGGTTGGGGTGAGGAGGGATCTGGTGAAGACAAGCATTAGCAGTTCTTCCTGTGCAGGTTCCAACAGAGGCACAGCCACACCTTCTCTGAAGAAATGATGGCCATTAGACCTGGGCTTACTTCCCAGTCAGATAGCTCCCACTAATGATGCTTCAGTCCCTACACCAGGAGACACAAAGCTCTAGGTAGGAAGTGATCTTGTCAACAAATCTCCATATTTTGTTCCCTAGCAGATGCTGAGGAGTTTCTGTCCTAGAGGCAAATTGCAATGATTTGATCACTCCTGTGCCTTCATAAATATCAAACATCTACAGAAATAGACTTTACAAAGCAGCCTTTTTTCCCCCACAGAATTCTATTTTCCACATGTTTCCAGGAGCTCCATTAAACTTGAAACTAACAAAAAATATATCTTTGCACTCTTGTGCCATTTGTTTATGTAACCTGATAGGTTTAATCTTCAGGAATTACCTGGGAAGATGAATGGGTGATCATGGTTTAATTTATTATGCCATTTAAAATCTAGGTAGTTCTGAATTTGGTAGTATTTTACTAGAATCTTACTTTTTAATCCTTATGTATAACCTCCCACCTGCTGGAACATGGAACATGTTGTCCATGTTCCATTCCAGCTCCTGCCTGTAGGCAGGATGTGACCAGAGGGGACAGGATGGATGGGGTTGGGGTCCCAGCCACCTGCTGTCCTTGTGAGCCACCCTGTTTCTCTACTGCCATCATTAGCCCAGCTGCCCTGCAGAGCTCACAGCAACAGCATCCGCCTCTCCTTGTGGGGCATCTCCTCTGCTACCAGGAATATTGGCCCAAAGTGTCCATTGTTTATTATTCCTCCCTCAGTCCACATGAGCTGTTTTGTACTTGCAGCCATGGTTTGCTCATCCTGCACTGCTCTACAGCTTTACATTGCATCCAGATTTGCTATATAAATTGCATGTACATTATATACACTACATACAGGTCCAGGTCTGCGTGGTTTTAACTGATTGTAGGTGAATTGTTTATAGCAGTGGGATTCCAGTGCTAGGCCTGTGCTGCATTTCTTATCACCCCTTATGCCTGTACTCATCTACAACATATCCTTGTCTCAACTTCTCAAGGCCACTGATATTGTATCAGTCATGTTTCTCTATCCTGTCTCCTTAAATTAAGCCATAAACATATCTACACAGAATGGCAGCTTGTTACTACTAGCTGTAAAAAATACGATGGTAACATCCAAGGATAAAAAAGTTAAACAAATTTGCAATTTACACCTGACTAGTTAGAGAAACTGCTGTCACAAATGAGTTGAAGAAGTCAAAGCTTCAGGCAGGTCAGGAAGAGATTGGCCAGACCAGGTGTGGCAAGCCTCAGCCCTGATGTGCTGCACACTCAGTGCAAAGCCTGTGGCCTGTCACTGGCAGTGGCATCCTGCAGGATGACAAGGCTGTGTTCCCATCCCAATGCCCTACGCACAGTCCTTTGCTCTTCCAGCTGTGTACATGCAGGCAAAGCAGACAAAGAGGAAATCCAAGTCTGGCTGTGGCCAGCAGCTTCGCAGAGACACCTGCGTCAGGACTCCAGTCCAC